AAAGGTAAATAACAGACTCAGATCTATTAATCTCCAAAGCAAAGAGAAATGTGAGAGTCAGAGGAGCTCCATGACAGTAGCTACAGCAGAGGGCAGACTGTGCTGAAGACTAAGCAAAAGGCTCAACTGCAAAAGTATTACAACTCTGTAGAAAGCTCAATGCTCAGAGTATCCTCGGAAAAAGAGACATTAGACAACCAAGTGGGCAGGAAAATGTTTGGGTCACCAGCAAAGCAGGGGCGCCAAAAATACTTCTAGAAAGAATTCAACTTTTGATATTTCAAAGCACTATTCAATTAGGCCATCATTGGAAGTCTCAGAATTTGACTGGACTTTCTTACACCTACTTTACAAACTAGGGTTCTTGTTTTATTTCGAATAATATACTATATCTAAGTAATAGAGACCGGTGCTTAGGGCCAAAAGGGCAGTGTTTTCCAGGCCATAGAACTTGTCCCAAAAGGTCTTCCTCATTTCACAGAAGGAGCAATTCAGACTCAGAGAGGTTAAGTAATTTGTCTAAAGTACATTACAACAAATATGCAAATCCAGGGTTTTCTAACTTTAGACCTTATACCCCTAACCACTAATGAATGAATACTACAGAGCACAGGCCTGGGAATGAGGACCTAGGACTGAATTTCAGCTCTGATATGAAACATCTATGTTAGCTTTGTCACGCCATTTCACTTCTCTGGTCCTTAGTTTCCGCCCCTTGGGCTGCCTATCTCCCCTGGCTATTCTGAGGAACACACGGGATAATGTCAACGAAAGATACTCCATTGGTTGTAAAGTTCTGGAACCCATGGGGGCTATTAGCAATGTTGTTCTCATTATTCTCAAATCCCAGGGGCAAGGCTCCTCCCAACACATGCTTGAGGAGGGGCTGAGAGGGTGATTCTGGGATATTGGAGGGGGGAGGACATAGAGCCTAAGGAGCACCATCTTAAGGGAGAAGGCCCCAGAAGACCTGGCTGAAGGAGGGGATAAAGGGCTTAATGGGCCATAGCTGTTCTCTCTGAGGCCAGGTTTGGAGACACAAAGGGGACAGCACAGGACACAAAAGGGTGAACAGGATTTGGCAGGTGAGTGGGCTGAGGGTAAAGTGCTCAAAGCTCAGAAGAGACTGGGATAGGAAGACAGGCTCAGAGAGGTGGGGAAATGTAGACCCTGGGCCAGGGATCCAGAAAGACAGATTGGGTGAGCACAGAGGCAGGTGCCCAGGATCCAGGTGTCTGTGAGCACTGTGAGACCTTTGGCCAGGTATCCTGGCAGCCCTCAGCAGTGGGATGCATTCACAGATGAGATTCAAATCAGCTTGGCCAAGGCTTGCCCATGGGACGACAAGGCTGATGACGGCAGGAACCATTGAAAACTCGAGCAAACAATGAGCTCCTTCATGCGCCAGTTTCTCTGTAAGCCTGTCTAGCCATTCTCCACATAAAGAAAATCCTATGAGGTCACTGATGATGGGAAAAGGCTCAGAGAGGAAAAACTAACTTGCTCAAGGTTATGAGGCTGGAGGCAGGAGCAGGGATTGACTCCCAAGTCCACACACCTAAACACTAAGGTGCACGTGACATAGTGAAGGTAAAGAGCCTGGCTTCACAGCAGGTGCTCACTCAGAGGGAGAGCCCTCGCTCCGCTGTCCATGAGGGGCATGGAGCAGGTAACCCCTGTCTGTGAACCGCCTGCTCTGCCAGACTCAGAGGAGACACTCAGAATGGCTGATGGAATTGGAAATGCGGAGAGATTTTTTTCCTCAAACCCCTAACTGTACAGATGAGAAAGCCACAGCTCAGAGGCCTGAAGTCACAGCCAAAGAGTGGCAGGGCTGGTCCAGGAGCCAGGACTCTGGGTTGCCAGGCAGGACTCAGTCCCTTGTAGGATGGTGGCTCCAGGAACAGACTCTGTTCCTGTCACACTTCACCAGCATTGGCCTTGGATGAGGGACTGTCCTTCTCTGGTCCTCAGCTTCTTTAGAGTAGAAGGGGCATAACCACCCCCTGGCAGTGTGTGATGAGGGGAGGTGATGTACACAGAGAGTGGGTTGGACATTGGGGTGACTGGTTTTTCTGTCCTCCTCTCTCCCCCTTGGCTGTAACTAGCTCATAGTCCTAACACGGACTATCTGCTGGGGCAAGTTCTGTGCCCTGGGAAACAGTGTGCTTTTGGTCCTAAGCACAGGAATATTCTTTTAATATGTTTTATATTTGATTATGTCGTACATAATTAAAATAAAGCAAGAATCCTAGCTTGTAAAATAAGTGCAAGGAAGTCCGGCCAAATCCTGATATTTCCTTTGAGGAGTTAGGTATGACTGAAATAGCAAATGCTGAATTCCTTCCTGAAGTATTTTGGTTCCCCTGCTTTGCAGGTGACCCAAGACTGGCCTGGCTGCTGGGTAGTCCAGAGGCCACCACCTCTCTACTGGGGTCTCAGCATCCAGGTCTCTCTCTGCAAAGCAGTGGACAGAGGAGGGAGGAGGAGAGGCAGTTGGATTGGTGGCCTCTTGGGGCCCCTCTGCTTTTGACCCTTTGAGTTTCTATCCCTCAAACCCCCACCTCAGCCTGACCTGAGACTGTCAGATGAGAGTGCAGCAGTGCCCAGAGCACTGTGGTTCGTACTGCTTTGAGGAAAGCTTGGCTACTGAATCTGCGGGGACGGGGTCCTAGCCAACTGAGGGTTAACCCTTTAAACTGGCGTCATGGATCAGCTCCTATCCTGCTCAAGGGGGTAGCCTCCAACATTATCTTTCAAAGAAGACTCACACAGAAGATCTTCTGCCCCAGGCTCATTCTAGACAAAGCCCTTGCCAGTCACTCCCCCCAAACCTGGGAGCCAGGCTGCATGACTCATGATCTAAAATAACAACAGAACAAACCAGGAAACTGAGGGAAGGAGGGCTGGGCTGTAATTGAAGATACATTTTATTTATTTGTTTTGTGACAGTCTCACTCTGGGTAGAATGCTGTGGTGTCACCATAGCTCACAGCCACCTCAAACTCTTTGGCTCAAGTGATCTTCCTGCCTCAGCTGCCTGAGTAGCTGGGACTACAGGAATGCACCACTACACCCCACTAGTTTTTCTATTTTTTAGTAGAGATGGGGTCTTGCTCTTGCTCAGGCTGGTCTCAAACTCCTGAACTCAAGCAATCTGCCTAACCTCTGCCTCTCAGAGTCCTAGGATTACAGGCATGAGCTACTGCACCTAGCCAATTTTTTATTTTTATTTTTATTTTTTTTTTTGAGACAGAGCCTCAAGCTGTCCCCCTGGGTAGAGTGCCGTGGCATCACAGCTCACAGCAACCTCCAACTCCTGGGCTCAAGCGAGTCTCCTGCCTCAGCCTCCCAAGTAGCTGGGACCACAGGCGCCCGCCACAACGCCTGGCTATTTTTTGGTTGCAGCCGTCATTGTTTGGTGGGTCCGGGCTGGGGACTCGAACCCGCCACCTTAGGTGTACATGGCTGGCGCCTTAGCTGGTTGAGCCACAGGCGCCGAGCCCAATTTTTTATTTTTAAGAAAAATAAAACCTTTTCTCAGATCTGATGTTCTGTGACTCTAGGACATGAGAGGATTTTTTATTTCTTTGTTTGTTTGCTTTGCTTTTGTCTTAGGAAAAAAGGGAATGTATATGTAGTTTCAGGGAAATCAAAGAAAAACTGCTGATGGAAGGAATCACTGGAGTCCACAGACCAGTGATATGGATATAAACATGAAGCGGAGTGGACCACCCGTCAGAGGGTCTTCCTGAAGCAAAACCAGCCAGTATTTGCCTCCGCCCCAATCTCCCACTCCAGAGAGCCTGAGCTCATATGCACTCAACACCCCTCAGGGTTTTCAGGACAACCTCTGACACATGCTTCTGTCTTTGGGCACCTGGAGCTTTCAGTTCTCTGGGTCCTTTCTAGTAACGCTGGCTCTGATGACTGCTCCTGGTGGCTCTAAGCTGGTGAAGCCAACAGCAGAGGGGGCAGGCAGTGACTAAGCAGGACACCTGCAGGGCTGAGCAGCAGGAGGAAGGAAGGTAAGAGAGCTATCGGGTTGTGCCCAGAGTCATTACTTTGGCATATCTGTGAAAAAGTCTACCTTCAGCTTAGGCTCCATCAGGAGTGAATTTTCCAACAGAAAATATTTGCTGCCCCCATCACCAGAGTCTGAGAGGCCCTCACACAGAGAGGGAGGGGACCCAGGGGACTCAGCAGAGAGAGGCAGGCAGAACTGTTGCACCCAGATAATGCGTAGATGGAGCAGGCAGCATGTTGCAGAAAACCATGGAAAAATCAGCCTTCCACTAATGTCACTTTCCACTAATGTCATTTGGTGGAAATTTAAGCAAATGTAAAAGAAAATGGAAGAGTGTAGAAAGGGTAGTGTGGGCTGCGGAGCTCTCGCTATGCATGGACCCCAGGTATAGCTAGATCATCTATGCATAGACCCCAAATGTAGCCAGATCAGCGATTCTCAACCTGTGGGTTGCAACCCCTTAGTAACAATGAAAATACATCCTGCATATCAGATGTTTATATTACGATTCATAACAGTAGCAAAATTACAGTTATGAAGTAGCAATGAAAATAATTTTATGGTTGGGGGTCACCACATGAGGAACTGTGTTAAAAGGTCATGGCATTAGGAGGCATTAGGAAGGTTGAGGACCACTGAGTTAGATCATCTGTGGGGGGATTGGTATTTCACTCTATGATCCTTCTCCTAGGACTTAAGTCCTGTAGTGGAAGCAGCTTTATTTACCTTCTCATAGCTGTGCACACCACAGGGACTTCCTACATATTTGATGGAAGGAGAAAGGACTGAACCGTGGGTTAAGGTGGAAGAACTAGTATTGAAGGCCACCACCAGCCCTCTAAATTGGGCTGTAAATGATTGAGATTGCAAAAATTATATCGTGAACTCCACAAATTCTCATTTCAAACTCCTGGATTTCTGGTTTCCAGATGCACTGGCTGCCTGTCACCCTGACATCCAGCTCTGTGCTGCCATGGCTGCTACAGCCTGTAATGGATCAAAGGCCTCTTCTCCTGTCTTCTATCTGGTGGGCATCCCCTCTCTACAGGAGTCCCTCTTCCTCCCAGTCTTCTTCATCTTCCTGTTCTTCTACCTGCTCATCCTGGTGGGTAATGCCCTGATCCTGGTGGCTGTGGTGGCAGAGCCCAGCCTCCACAAGCCCATGTACTTCTTCCTGATCAACCTCTCAGCCCTGGACATCCTCTTCACCACATCCACCGTCCCCAAGATGCTGTCCCTACTGCTACTCAGGGACCACCTCCTCAGCTTCCCTGCCTGCTTCCTGCAGATGTACCTGTTCCACAGCTTCTCCTGCTCTGAAGCCTTCATCCTGGTGGTCATGGCCTATGACCGCTATGTGGCTATCTGCCGCCCACTGCACTACCCTGTTCTCATGACCCCACAAACCAATGTTCTGCTGGCGGCCAGTGCCTGGCTCATTGCCCTCCTCCTGCCCATCCCGGCAGTGGTACAGACCTCCCAGATGGCATTTGGCAGCACTGTTCACATACACAACTGCTTCTGTGACCACTTGGCTGTGGTCCAGGCCTCCTGCTCTGACACCACCCCTCAGACCTTCATGGGCTTCTGCATTGCCATGGTGGTGTCCTTCCTCCCCCTTCTCCTGGTGCTTCTCTCCTATGCCCACATCCTGGCCTCAGTGCTTCGCATCAACTCACAAGAAGGAAGGTCCAAAGCCTTCTCCACCTGTAGCTCCCACCTCCTGGTGGTGGGCACCTACTACTCATCCATTGCCATCGCCTATGTGGCCTACAGGGCTGACCTGCCTCTCGACTTCCACATCATGGGCAATGTGGTGTTTGCCGTCCTTACACCAGTTCTCAACCCCCTCATCTACACGCTGAGAAACAAAGATGTCAAAGCAGCCATCACCAAGATTGCATGTCCCCAGGACCCAGGGCATTCTGGGAGCCCATGATCCTTGTATGTAGCTAATTCTGCTCCCAGGATACTAGCTCCTGAAGAACAGAAAACATCATCAAAAAAGCTTTTTGAAGGAAAAATGGCTTATAGCAGTACATAATATAACATTGGGGCTTCCATATCCACTAACAAGAGACTAAATTATACAATCAACTCTTGTGTGGAAAGGATTAAAAATGTCAAATAAACTATAAAACAAATATTCTTAAAAATATCAGAAACATTTCAATATATTCAAGCTAAAGTTGTAATAAACATGAGAATACAAAGAGGTAAGTTATTAAGACATGGATAGATATATAGTCCAATGAAACAAAACAGAATACATAGCCCAGAAGTAAAGTCATAAATACACAGATAATTTGAAATATGAGGGAAATGACACTATCATTGTGGGACACAGGCATTGGAGCTATCTGGTATCCATATATCAAAACATTAAATTTGTCCAATACCCTGAGGAAACACAAAAAATCAACCCCATTAATGACCTAAATATGAGAGGCAAAACTGTAACATTATGTAGAAGACTATAGTAGTGCCTAATTTGGAATGGGGACATATTTCTTAAACAAGATTTTAAAACTCTACCCAAAGGGATAATGTTGACTGCTTTAGATAATGATGGCTACTATGACATTCTTGTGCCTAACTTTTCTCTAATTCAAAACATAGAATCTCTATTTGTCAAAAGACAGCCAAAAGAGAGTGAAAAGACAAGCCACAGATGGAGAAATTCTTTATAATTCGTATCACTAACTAAGGATGCAGGAGTCAAATCAATAAGAAAAAGATAGTCAAGACTTTAGAAAAATGGGCAAAGTACTTCACAAGAGAGAATGTCCAATAAGTATAAGAAAAAGTGCTTGACCAGTTTGATGGAAGTATTTCAGATTGTGTGTGAAAACCCCGCACTGTACCCCAGTAGTGCCTTAATGTACATAGTTACCATTCAATAAAAAAAGAAAAAGAAAAAGTGCTTGACCTTTTTAATAATAGAAGTGCAAATTACAAGTATAAGTAAGCCAGGAAAGGTGGCTCACTCGGTGATGCTGGGAGGCTAAGGTGGGAAGATCCCTTGAGCTCAGGAGTTTGAGACCAGCCTGAGCAAGAGCAAGACCCCATCTCTAATAAAAACAGAAAAATCAGCTGGGCATGGTGGTGGGCATCTGTAGTCCCAGCTACTCAGGAGGCTAAAGAAGGAGGATGGCTTCAATCCAGGAGTTTGAGGTTGCTGTGAGCTAGGCTGACACTGGGGTACTCTAGCCTGGGCAACAGAGTGAGATTCTGTCTGAAAAAAAAACAATAAGTAGATGCCACTAGAAACTCATGGACTAAAATATCAAAGCACAACGATGTGACAGTTGGTGAGGATTTGGGCCAATGGAGCTCTCAAACATTGATTAGTGAGAGTGTTACTTGGTATAAGCACTGTGAAAAAATGCTTTATCACTATCCTGTAAGGTTGCAGACATGTACTCTGCAATCAGCACAGCAGTATTTCTCTAATTTGTGAAATGTTCATAAAATGTAACACTATCCTGCAATAAAAACGAAGGTAACCACATGGAGAAATCTCAGATGGTGTTGAGTAAATGATTCAAGACTGGAAAGGATACATACAGTAACATGACTGCTGTTCTATAAAGTTTAAAAACAAAACAGAACTATACTATTTTATTAACATTTATGGTGGCCACAAGCTGCAAAGAACAGAGAATATTGATAATGAAAATCAGAATCATGGTCACTTCTGTGGGAGAGGGAGGGGCTGTACCCGGGGAGAGGTGCTAGAGGCCGGTGAGCTGTCGTCAGTCCTTCTTTCTCACCTAGTGATGATGGCATGGGGCTCGCTTTGAAATGAAACTGTAGGCCCAGCACGGTGGCTTGGGCCTGGAATCCTAGCAATCTGGGAGGCTGAGGTGGGAGGATCACTTGAGCTCAGGAGTTTGAGACCAGCAAGAGCAAGATCCTCTTTCTACTAAAAATAGAAAAACCAGTCGAGCATTGTGATGGGCATCTGTACTCCTAGCTACTTGGGTGGCTGAGGCAAGAGGATCACTTGAAACCTAGAGTTAAAACTCTTGAACCTAGAGTTTGAGGTTGCTGTGAGCTATGATGCCAGGGCACTCTACCCAGGCCAACAAAGTAAGACTGTTTCAAAAATTAAATATGTAAATAAATAATTTTTTAAAATGAAACTGGATATTGAGGTTTTGTATATGTTTATTCTTTATAAACATGTATTTCATGACAAATTCTTATAAGGTGTCATTCCATCAAGCAGAGGCTATAGCAGCTGTTCTCAATGTTTGGTCCAAGTCCTCCCACGGGCACAATGGACGGTGGTAGTGTCACATTCACAGTAAGCATCAAGCTGCTCAATACAATTCTTCCCATTAGTTCACACATTTAAGAAGCCCTTCCTGAGCATTTGGGAGCAGCTATACCACGTGGAAGAAGCTAGAGACACAGAGATCTATCAGGACAGTCACTGCCCTCAAGAGGCTCACAGTCTAGTGAGGGAAACAGATGCAGGAACGTGTGGGAGGTGCCCGCTCCCTGTCAGAGGGAAGGCAGAGTGCGGGGAGGGGAGCACAAAAGGTGACGTTCACTTCCAGGTGAAAATGTCCCCCCCCCCCCTGCCCTGATGGGGCCTACAGCACCTGCTCCTGCTTCTTTGCACATCTCTTAGCACTAACCATGTGGTGGATGTGGGCTGATGAGAGGGAAGAATCCCTGAGCCGCCCCGGGGTGGAGGGAAGGAGAGGTTTCATTCTAGTGCTCCCAGGATGCAAGGGTGGTCCCCATGCTGCTGCCTACTAGGAAACACTGATGCTTAGCCTGGACGGCTCTCATCAAGAGATGGAGTTTTGTCAGTTAAACCCAAAGGACTGTACCACTGAGTTGCCTTCAGGAGTCACACACATCAAAAGGAATCAGATGAGGGCAGGGAGGAGCAAAATGAGAGTGCTCCCCAAACTGACAGTGCTCCCCAATTGCTGGAGTGGCAGGGTGGAACACTACACAGGAAAGTGGATGGAGCAGGAGGGGGCATTTTCCTGCGTATCTCAGAGGGAAGAAAATAGTCATTAGCAAACTGTGATAATGCAGCAGCCTATCGGTGTAACTTAGAGCCAAGACGACAGCAGAGAGTGAGAATCCCAGCAAATAATAATGAGCACCTTCATAAATAATTTTTAACAGATAGGCCTGGTAGCACCAAGGCCCCACTTGAGTTAGGTCTGCTGTCTGAGGAGGCCCCTTTAATAATGGTTATACAAAATTATAACAATTTTAAGACAAGATTATGAGAAACAGCATTTTTTAGGTAAACTTTTTTTCACTTTTTAAAATTTCAGGTTAATATGAGAGTACAAGAGATTAGGTTTGCGTTTGTTAGGTAAAGCCCCTATTGTAGTTGTGCCCCTCACTCAAGAAGGGCGCCATCTGCCCCTACATTGTCACAGAAAGGCATTTTTAGTGAATTCCAGTCTCCATTCCTGCTCCCTCCACCTGTTGCATCCCTGTTAAAGAAACCATTTTCTTTCTTTCTTTCTTTCTTTCTTTTTTTTTTGAGACAGGGTCTCAAGGAGTGGCCCTAGGAGGAGTGCTGTGGCATCATAGTTCACAGCAACCTCCAATTCTTGGGCTCAAGTGATCCTCCTGCCTCAGTTTTTCTATTTTTAGCAGAGATGGAGTCTCACTTTTGCTCAGGCTGATCTCAAACTCATGAGCTCAAGTTATCCACCCAACTCGGCCTCCTAGAGTGCTGGGATTACAGGGGTGGTAAATGTTTTCCACTTTTAATTAAACTTTTAATATAAGCAAACATATATATTCACAGAAACATATGTATTTGTATAATATATAAATATGGCTGTATTGTACATAAATATAACTATATAGATATATTTCCACTCTTAGAGAAACAGTAGCATACTATAGTATCGTTGTGCACTTTGATTTTAAAAACTTAATTGGCAGTATATAGAGATAAAGATTGTTGTTCCAGATGGGAAAAATAATAACACTGTACACTGTTGGGAAGGATTCAGTAGAGAGCAAAACTTGGTGGTGGAGGAGAGGGAAGGCTGGTTGGTGGGATTGGCTTTAGACAGGAACACGAAGACTTCATCCCTGATAGCGGGCAGGAAGCGGGCAGAGTATGGGGGTGCAGAGACTAGGGGGTGGGTGGCTGGGATGTGGAAACTGTGGCGTTTCCCCCCCGATTGCTGAGTGGCAGTGAGAAGATGTTACTGGAGGGCTGAGGAGAGAAGAGAAGGTATGAAAAAGTCATCCAGAAGAGGTGAGGGAACAGAGCAGAGACTTGACAGGTAGGCCTGGTAGCACCAAGGCCCCACCTGAGTTAGGTCTGAGGAGGCCTCTTACATTAAACTCAGATGAGGTACACTTACATCAGGACAATGCTTTATTAAAACTGATCTCATTTTTACCACAGAGTATGGTACTTATCCTGAGTCATAGTATTCTGAGTAATGGTCCTAATTTCAATGATTTTCTCCAGGGGAGATTTTTTTTCAACCACTGGGATAATTACATAAGCCAACTTGTTCTATGGGCAGCGACAATCTGTTTTTTTAATCTGTTCATTTACCTGTTCCCACAAATGGCTACCGAAACTCCTTGGCAAGAAAATTTAAACTGTCAGCCAAATGACATAAAATGTCATTCATATGTTAAGTACGTATGTCATGAACCTATTATGTACTATATTTTATACTTCCTTGTGGCGGGGGGGGGG